AGCAATAGTGGATCCAGTCACAAAAACCCAGACAGAGCCAGTCCCAGAACTGGAACCAGTGGAACAACCAGCACCAGAACCATTGCCAACACTGAATCCAGTACTTGCAACCCCAACACCAGAGGGCTGTACCGAACCTGCACCAGTAGCAGCAGATAACCTTACACAAGAGGCTCAGCTGAGGTCTGAACCCCAACATAGTGCACCAGCAAAAAGCGGTTCACAGTCAACGGAAATAGCCCCATCACCTGCATCGCTTCCAGAGGGACCAAGCCCAGGTCCACAATCCAATGAGGAACTGATGTCTCCAGCATCAAGGGAACAGTTCCAGACCGAACAGGAAGCAAATGAAAGCCTCCAGAGAGCTTAGACGGCGGCACAGAGCAACCCACCGCCTCTCAGCTCTTCCAATCAATCCAGGTTTGTTGTAAAAAGAGAACTTTTATACAAGGAAACGCTTTCTGGTGAACACCAGGAACACTGGCATCCCCAGAGACAGTTGGTAGATCCAGCTAAATACCGGGTAAAGCTATTAAGCTTAGCCCCTGATCATCCTAGTGGCCATGCTGAGGTGAACAGTACCAAAAAACATTTGGGAAAGTCGTTCCACTGGGAGGAAATGGGCAAGAATGTTTCTACCTATGTCCGGACTTGTAAGGTGTGCCAAAGAGTTGGAAAACCCCAAGACCAGGTCAAAGCCCCTCTCCAGCCGCTCCCCATCGTTGAGGTTCCATTTCAGCGAGTAGCTGTGGATATTCTGGGTCCTTTTCCGAAAAAGACACCCAGAGGAAAGCAGTACATACTGACTTTCATGGATTTTGCCACCCCTTACCATCATCAAACAAATGGCCTGGTGGAGAAGTTTAATGGAACTTTGGGGCCATTTATCAATACATAAATTCGTAAATGAGCACTCCAATGATTGGGACCTAGTGTTGCAGCAGTTGCTCTTTGCCTACAGAGCTGTACCACATCCCAGTTTAGGGTTTTCACCATTTGAACTTGTATATGGCCACGAGGTTAAGGGACCATTACAGTTGGTGAAGCAGCAATAGGAGGGGTTTACACCTTCTCCAGGAACTAACATTCTGGACTTTGTAACCAACCTACAAAACACCCTCCAAACCTCTTTAGCCCTTGCTAAAGAAAACCTAAAGGATGCTCAAAAAGAGCAAAAAGCCTGGTATGATAAACATGCCAGAGAGCGTTCCTTCAAAGTAGGGGACCAGGTCATGGTCTTAAAGGCGCTCCAGGCCCATGAAATGGAAGCGTCGTCGGAAGGGCCATTCATGGTCCAAGAACACTTGGGAGCTGTTAATTATCTCATAGCCTTCCCCACCTCCAACCAAAAGCCTAAGGTGTACTATATTAATTCTCTAAAGCCCTTTTATTCCAGAGAATTAATTTATTTCAGAGAACTGTTTGTCAGTTTACAGCCCAGGGAGAAGATGATGCTAAGTGGCCTGAAGGTGTCTACTACGAAGGAAAAAGTGATGGTGGCGTGGAAGAGGTGAACCTCTCCATGACCCTTGGGTGTATGCAGCGACAGCCGATCCAGGAGCTGTGCACTAGCTATGTGCCAACATTCTCAGCCACACCAGGACTGACTGAATGGGCATACCACTCCATTGACACAGGTAATGCTCACCCAAATAGAGCCCAACCTTACCGGGTGTCTCCTCAAGCTAAAACTGCTATAGAACAGGAGATCCAAGATATGCTACAGATGGGTGTAATCTGCCCCTCCCACAAGGCATGGGCATCTCCAGTGGTTCTAGCTCCCAAACCAGATGGGGAGATACATTTTTGCGTGGACTACCGTAAGCTAAATGCTGTAACTCACCCAGACAACTATCCAATGCCACGCACAAATGAACTAATGAAGAAACTGGGATGGGCCCAGTTCATCTCTACCTTGGACTTAACCAAGGAGTACTGGCAGGTACCGCTAGATGAATCTGCCAAGGAAAGGTCAGCCTTCATCACACGTCGGGCTGTATGAGTTTAATGTGCTCCCTTTCGGACTGCAGAATGCACCCGCCACCTTCCAAAAACTTGTAGATGGTCTCCTAGCGGGATTGGGAGAATATGCAGTCGCCTACCTTGACGATGTGGCCATATTTTCGAATTCCTGGGCAGAACACCTGGGACACCTACAAAAAGTCTTTGAGCGCATAAGGGAGGCAGGACTAACTGTTAAGGCTAAAAAGTGTCAAATAGGCGTAAATAGAGTGACCTACCTTGGACACCAGGTGAGTCAAGGAACGATCAACCCCCTACATGCCAAAGTGGATGCTATCCAAAAGTGGCCTGTCCCAAAGTCAAAGAAACAGGTCCAATCCTTCTTAGGCTTGGCCGGATATTACAGGCGATTTGTACCGCAATACAGCCAAATCACCGCCCCACTGACAGACCTAACCAAAAAGAAACAGTCAAATGCCGTTCAGTGGACTCAAGAGTGTCAGAAGGCCTTTAACCAGCTTAAAGCAACACTCATGTCTGACCCTGTGTTAAGGGCCCCAGACTTTGACAAACCGTTCCTAGTAACCACAGATGTGTCCGAGCGTGGTGTGGGAGCAGTCTTAGTGCGGGAAGGACCAAATCAAAAGTTCCATCCTGTTGTGTTTCTCAGCAAAAAGCTGTCTGAGAGGGAAAGCCACTGGTCAATCAGTAAAAAGGAATGTTACGCCATTGTCTATGCTCTGGAAAAGCTACGCCCATATGTTTGGGGACGGTGTTTCCACCTGCAAACCGACCATGCTGCGCTACAGTGGCTTCATACCACCACGGGAAATAACAAAAAACTTATTTGGTGAAGTTTAGCTCTCCAAGATTTTAATTTCGACATACAACACATTTCAGGAGCTTCTAACAAAGTGGCTGATGCACTCTCCCGTGAAAGTTTCCCAGAATCAACTGGTCCAAATCGTCCTTAAGATGTGGGAAATATGGTTAGTCTTTATACAGTTAGTAGTATATTTAGAGATGCATCTGTCTTATTAACTCTGTTTTCTCCTAGAGCTCCAGAAAGAAATCACAGCCAGTGTTTCACCCTATCTGTGATTTGGGGGGCGTGTCGTAAATATAAAGGGAGTAACCACCTTTCTGTATACAGTGCTATAAAATCCCTCCTGGCCAGAGGCAAGGCCCTTTCACCTGTAAAGGGTTAAGAAGCTAAGGTAACCTCGCTGGCACCTGACCCAAAATGACCAATGAGGGGACAAGATACTTTCAAATCTGGAGAGTGGGCGGGAACAAAGGGTTCAGTCTATCTGTGTGATGCTTTTGCTGGGAACAAAAAATTAATCAGGTTCTTAAAAGAAGAATTTTAATTAAAAAAAAAGGTAAAAGAATCATCTCTGTAAAATCAGGATGGTAAATACCTTACAGGGTAATCAGATTCAAAACATAGATAATCCTTCTAGGCAAAACCTTAAGTTACAAAAAGACACAAAAACGGGAATATACATTCCCTCCAGCACAGCTTATTTTACCAGCCATTAAACAAAAGAAAATCTAACACATTTTCTAGCTAGATTACTTACTAGCTTAACAGGAGTTGGAAGGCTTGTGTTTCTGATTTGTTCCCAGCAAAATCATCACACAGACAGAGAGAACCCTTTGTCCCTCCCCTCCTCCAGATTTGAAAGTATCTTGTCCCCTCATTGGTCATTTTGGGTCAGGTGCCAGCAAGGTTACCTTAGCTTCTTAACCCTTTACAGGTGAAAGGGTCTTGCTTCTGGCCAGAAGGGATTTTATAGCACTGTATACAGAAAGGTGGTTACCCTTCCCTTTATATTTATGACAACACTGCATAGTCTCCAGGACTCTAGAGCAACCCTAGAGTCCCTGGGCATTTACATCCCAGCAGTAAAGCAGAAGGCCTTCTGTCCTCACCAGTCCCAGGGATTTCAGGGGTTTGCCCCTCAAGCTCAGCAGCTGCCAAGGAAGAAGAGCAGAGGTTACAAAAGACACCCACCAGCATCCTCTGCCCCTGCAGCTTCTGGTTCATCAAGGCATCCTCCTCCAATACCTCATTTTGATGAGCTGGCCAGGAACAGACTGCCAGTTCTTAGAATGCCATCTTTTTCTTCCCTGATTTTTGCAAACCACCTGTCCCACTTCCATAGTGCTTGGGCCCACATCACAAGAGATCAGTAGGTTCTAAGCATGGTGGAAGTGGGATATACACTCCAATTTATTTCTAACCCCACCCTCCCATCCCATTTCCCTGTCCCTCTTCAGTGACCTGTCTCATGAGACTGTGTTGCTGCAAGAAATACAGTCACTTCCCCTTGTAGGAGCTATAGAGGTCCCTCCACTGTTCAGGGGGAAGGGGTTTTACTCCTAAAATTTCTTGATCCCAAAAGCAAAAGGGGGGTTTCAGGCCTATTTTAGATCTAAGGGAGTTAAACAAGTTTATGGGGGAGAAATTCAGGTGGGTTGGGGAGAAGATCCACAGACCCCAAAACAGGCCAGAACATTGACCTGCAGTGCAGCTCCCTGTGGTCACTTCTCCAGTCCATGGGTTAGAGCAGTGGCTGCAGCTCTTCTTTCCCATTTGCATGTGGGGTTGAGGCTACTGGATCAATATAAATAGGGATCCTGTGGCCCCCTTCCCAGGCTAGTCCCCGTAATAACTTGCCATCCCAGCCTGTGTGCTACTGGTGCAGAGACTTCTGTGGTACAGACAGCCTCTTTTATTCTCCCTTTTGTTACAGCTGCCCTCCCCACCACATATCCATGAGTTATCTCCCCCCTTGCCCCATGCAAACTATCAGCAAATCGTGTTGCTTCTTCCCTCCATAACATCTCTAAAAACTGCCCCCTCTCTTTCATCCCCTGCTGTTAATTGTAATCCTTTTTCTGCTAAATCACAGTCTCTTTCCTCCTAACAGGAGGGTGTACACATGCTCCTAGTGCTGGATCCTACGTCTAATTACAGTGTCTCACTGGAGACCTTGCATTTATGAACATGCCTTAAAATTACTCATTTCCAGAGAGCTGTTTACCTGCAGTTTATTTAGTATCTATTCTTTTCTTTTCTTCTTTTTACACAGAGCAAGTGCAGAATATCTTTGGTAACAAGATGCTGGAATACACGCTGAATTTGTGTCAGGGATGTTATGATTTCCTAGCTCGAATGCCTGATAACCTGATTCTGCACATCCTGTCATTTCTTAACACAGATGACATCAGACAGCTGTCAAAAACTTGCAAGAAGTTTCAGCAGGTAATTGTATAAGTACTCACATATTACTACTGATGTTGCCATGAATTTGAAACAAACGGGGTCTTAAGGTTATGAAGGCTGGAGCTTTACATTATCATTTTATGACACAGGGGCACTGTGATCCATGGATCCATCACCACTGATTTCTGTGGTAACTAGAGATGGAACTAAGTAGGCGAATGCAGATCTGGATTTTGAACACTTTAGGGGGATCAGGATCTCCCCTCTCTAGTGGGAATTAGAATCTTGCTATGGACACAAATAGTCTAAAACCGTATTCTGCTTGGCCAATTGAACCTTTACGATGTCACAGCCATGCCTCCGAACACAAGAGCTGACGACCTGAATCCTAATCATCAAAAAGAAAATTCCTACAATTGTGATTTTAAAACATACGGACTTGGGGGTGGGGGAAGGAAAGGTGAAAACTGCTAGCTCTTTCTATTTCTTTTCTACCCTCATCTAATATAATGTGATTTATACCTGAACCCCTTTGAGGAAGCTTGACAACAGCAAAGGTAAGGTTTATTCCCCTCACTGTTTCACAGAACCCATTCTTCATTTCCCTTTCCCTCTGCATTTTCACCTCTCCCTCTCTCCCTCTCCCCTGGTGCATCCTGGGAATCGTAGTACCTGAACTCAAAGCTTCTAGAACCACCTGGGAACAAACTTACAAACACAAAGTGTGGTAGCTATTGGCACCTAGCTTGATACAACAATGGGCTATAAGAGTTTCACTTTTAAAATGTAGCTGCATTCTCTCCCTGTACCTTTCCTACCAACCCTTTCTCCCGTCTGTCTTTGTTTTTTCCACCTCTCATAAGCTCTTTAGCAAATAAATGGGGATCCTTAAACGAGTTCACCACTCAGGTTATCAACTTAAACTTTATCATGAAAGCTGCCTAGCCAAGCTGGAGAGCAGCAATTGGACTGATAGGAGAAGTTATGGTTTCTTTTGAAGTTCTGCTATGGGAAGCATGGGACAGGATCTCTATGTGTAGTAGAAATCTATTTCATGCTACAGAAATCTTTGAAAGTCAATTATCCAGAGGCAGTTCCAACACACTGCCAGAACTGAATGCTTGCTAGCTGGTCAAAGGGTCAAGATGTTTCAGTTCTTTTCCTATAGTATCTCATCAGACCTGCACTTTGGACATCTAACACTTGGCCTGGGATTTACTAGCTATATACACTGTACCTTTGTGTAGAAGTTAGCAGGACATCCTACTTTCTCAAACAAATCAAGGGCTGTTGACAGGGCATACGTAGGCCAAAAAATGTAATATCCCTTTTCTTTATCTAGATCCTCCTCACCCAGACAAGCCACCATAGCTAAGCAGCATGCCACAATATCTGCTAAAATACAATCTCTTTCTTCCCAGCTTGTAGGAGAAATAGCTGATTAGTTTAGTTGTGTATGTGTATGCATAAAGAATTTCTGGAGAGAAAACTAAGCAGAAGAGACACATTCTGCAGTTAGTTGTGAATATAGTAAATATAGTACGGTTCATGATCATTCCTACCTCTGCTGATGGCGAGTTCCATAGCGTAGGTCCTGTGTCTGTGAAGCTCTGTCTCCTCCACCAATCAACCTCACTCTCCCGAAAGATAGTGGTATGGGAGGGAGAGGTATCTAGGGCCAGTCCTAAGACCTTTAGTTGCACTCTATAGTCAATGGGGAGCCAGTGCAGAGAGCAGAACACCAAGGTCACGTGTTGGCAGCAATCTATGTTGTTAAGCAGATGGCAGGCTGCATGTTACTTCTTCTCAATCCCTGTCAGTTTACTTCTCTCTTTAGTCATTGGCTCTTTCATCTAAAATTATCAACTGCATTAACCAATGTATGAGAGAAGTTACAACACACAAACAACATTTACTATTCCAGTGCAGCTCTGGCTTTGACACTGGGTAGCAGAAGACTAAAGTAAGCTACAGCTCTCAAATATGAAGCATGAAACCTTCTTCTAATACTACAGCTTGCGCTTCATCTTTGTGGTAGCATCCAGACATATTCAGGAATCAAATTACCAGTAATGTTTTCCTTTTTGCAATGAATATTTTACAGTACCCTGAGCAAGCCCAGTGAACACAGTGCCTTTGTTTAATGTGCATCATTTAGTCCTAATAAGCATCATGTCTCACATTAGTGATTTTAATTACTGAGAGATCAAGTCATTCAAACAGAACGTGTTCAAAGGAGAAGGTAGTGGGCCTGCTTGTGCTCTCAGTTACTAGTGTTTTGCAGAAATGTTACTTCATTGACTTCAGTCTGAGTTACTCTGGATTACGACAGGGAGAGAGGAGAATCAGACCTAGGTGACCCAGATTTTCAAGTGTCCATTTAAGGTGTAATCAGCCTGTTTGTTAGAACTGGGTGCATGGGGGCCATCTGGCAGGCATGAGACCCTCCCCCACATGAGGGTGAATGGCCCTCTGTGCTGGTGCTTTTTTTGCAAGGCTTCAAGCTGAATGCTAGCTCTGTGCACACCCACATAGGGACATTGTGGGTGGGAGTAGGCATGACCAGACATCCCTGTGGCCTGCTGATTTTTCTGCTACCACAAGGCCCATAAGGACTATGGAAATGGGAGGTGCAAATATGAATAATCCTCAGACCTGCCCTAGTCTGTGCCGGGGCCAAGACAGCACCAACCAGCTCCCAAATAGGGAAGGCATAAGCTACATCTTCTCAGTCCCCACGCTGGCCCTGGCCCAGGGGCATTTCCCCTTCCTTTGGGTACATTTTGTAGAATAAGATGTTGTGGGGAGCAAGGGCTCCCTCAGCCCCCTCCAGATCCCACTGTCCATCATTTATACTGTCTCCCATCCCCAGTTAATAACACATGAGAGGTTATCTGAGTCATACAAATAAGCAAAAGTAAGATCCTCTCCTCTCCCTTTCCCTTAGGAGAGAGGGCACGCTGGGTGACACCAGCAAGGCAGAGGTGGCCTGTCTCTCAGGTGGTCTTTCTGGACTCAGCTCTATGTGCTTGGTCTATCAGGATCTATTGCCCGTTAGTGGGGCTATCTTCAGCCCCTCCTCTTGGGACGTACAGCTTTATAGTTGGCCTGTGCAGCTTCGGAAGCAGTGCAGCCTGTGACTGTCCTTGTTATCAGCAGTCTCCAAAGCTAAGCAGCCTTCTCCCTGTGGCAGGTTTTCCTTTTTAAGCTTCTCCCCTTCAGGCAGAATAAGTCTTGCAGGTGTGCCTCATTAGGGCTGAAGAGGCCCAGAAGAGCTCGTTAGTCTCCTCTCCCCCAGAGCAAGGGCATGTCCCTTCACAGATGTAAATAATTAAATGTAATAAAACTGGCATAAGTGGCAATTGCACCTTTTGGCATTCAGCAGATCTGCAAACCAGAAACATACACACCAAGGAGATGAAGGTGTACGGAACTGTAGGAACAGGAACTAACAGGGGATGCAAGATAAAGCGGCTTCCCACAACAAGTTTAAACTTATGTCCACCACGTCACTCCCACAGGACAAATTCAGCTCTAGGATAAGCAAGTTCATCTTCTACTGATAGCATGATTTTGCTCTCACCCTGTTTTTACTGAGGAATTCCATTTACTTCAGTGGAGTTACTCTTGTTTCATCAGGATGGGAGATCAGAACCAGGCCCACTGGCTTCAATAGGTGTTGCAGTCACTTATTCCAGGGTTTGGTATGCACAGAATACCAAATCAGTGCAAATTCATTTGTTCTGCACACCCAGTGTTCCACATTGTCCCCTTTAGCGCCGCACACAGAACACGGGTGGAAGGAGGGGCAGTTGCCTCCTCTGGTCCCTGTGGAGGCCTCTGCCTGGGGTCTGGAACCTGCATGGGGAATGGAAACGGGATAGGCTGGGGGGAGAACACACATCAGCCCCCTTCCAGCCAAAGGGAAATTCCCTGGAGAAGACAATACAGGCTGTATTTTCTGCAGAGCCTTCTCCCAGTGGTTGCCAAAAGCAGCCAGCCATTGGAGTGTGCTGCCAGGGTCTGGAGCCGATGCAGCAGCATAGGGTCCCTGCACGAATGGCCTGACCTCCTCCTACTTATCTTCCAGGGTTAGAAGTGGGCCCAAATGCCTTTCCCATGGTGGGGCCAAGCTCCTGTCTTCCCTCCCACATAGGATGATGTAGCAGAGAAGAGGGGAATCACTGCAAGGGGATCCTCATGGAGGTTTCCTTCCTGGGCCTCCCTCCTACAGATTTATATTTGGGAGGGGTTTGACCCAGGACACTGAACCAAATTACATTACTTTGTTGCTTATGTTCATTTTCTGACCAACTTGTACCATCATTTAAATCACCACTGAAATTAGTCCCTGGTCTTGTTGTGAAATATTTTGCCAAACAAGGGTATTATTTAACCTGACATGTTGAAAAAGGTAGAAGAATTTGTATTGATATTAGCAGTCAAATCTCTTCTATACTTGTGCCACTTTTAACCAAAGGTCCCCCTCCCCCACTGGCTTAAATAAAATAATGTAAAGGAAAAACAAACAAACAAAAACAACTAACCACCTACTATCCCCCACGCCCTCCTCCCCCCAAAAACCCAATTAGCTGTGAGGCATCAGATTCTGAGGTCATTACACTACTTTAAATCTGGAGTAACTCCTGTGACTTGAGATTTACACCAATATGTTCTAAAATGAGATCAGACTATGGCCTAATGAAGTGTATATTGTGTAATAACCATTGCAAATATTCATTTTAGTTATGTAGCCGTGAAGAACTATGGGAAAGAGTTAGACGGCTACAAGATAAACACACTAATGAGCTGAAGATTATGAGGGTCCCAGTTTACAAGAAGCTAACATACTTCAATCAAAAGCCCAGTCAGAGAAGATGCAGAGAAGACAGACCACATTCTTTTAAATGTGATTGGCAATTATCAGACTAGACTGACAGACCACGCATCTTTTTTAATATTATGTTGCTATTGTGAATAAAACCCTATTGTGGAGATAAAAAGAATTATAATAAGTAAATATGAATTTTCTCTAGACATGTAAGAGATCACAGAGCTTTCCTTTCATAAGTTAAAACTGAAAGGGTACCATTAATTTGAAAACCCCATTCCTATCTAATTTTTTTTTTAAATCTTTATTACAAATACTTCATCAGAAAAAGATTAGTGATTTTTATACCTTTCTCTTTTTGTGTGTGTTTTCTTTGTGCACGTAACATCATTTTTGTGTATAGTCAGTTTCACTGTTTTGTTGATGATTCACAGCTCTATTGGGACACTACTTAGCCAAATCTGAAAGCGAACCCTGGTGTAGCTCAGACACCTGCCTAAAGGAGTCTTTGAAAAAAATAAAGACATGACGGAATGACTTACAGCAATTTATTTTATTATGCAGAAAACTTAGGGTGTGCTATTTAAAGGGTGCTGTATCAGAAAACTGAGTTGTTGAAGTTGCCAGTGTGAAGTTTTTGAAATTTAGTCAGTGTGCATTTAAAAATGCTTCAGGCCATGAACAGATTTTACTTAATGATCCTTTGCAATCCACTTCATTCTGCCTTACAAAAAGTAGCTCCTAAGATGCACATATTCTTATTGCGGTTCACTACATACAGAAGGACTTACCCACTATAAAATATTGATGACTTGACCCACAAGTAATGTCTTCAGTGAAGAAAGGGTGCAACAGACAGAGATGGCTGTTGGTCATTAAAATGCTGAAAGTTCTTATTAAACACAGAGTATAACCTCTTGCAGCCTAACTGAATATTGAACTAAATTCAGCTGTGGTGTCAGTGGATGCAATACCATTGTCGTCAATGAAATTGCAAGATTGAGTCTGGGTTGTTGTGCAAAGCGAGTTAATATGGTAGAAATCAAAATTTTCACACCATTTGTACTCTGCATGAAGGCTGGCTGCACATCTGCATTAATTTGTGTGCTACCAGATTGCCTCATTCGAGGAAGTGCAGCAGGTTGCTAGGCAGACAAACACTCATTTTCAGCCTAAGTCAGCTGGTGTAGCATGAGCACACTGCTGTTGCGTGGCAACAGGCAAGCAGCTGTTCTTTCTGGCTAGTATGAGTAGGGGCAGAGGCAAGTTCAGCCAGCAGAGTCTTTGCATAGCAATGGGAATGCTCCTGAAGATTTTAACAAGGGCCTACCTGGGGAAAAAATAGTAATAATAAACCTTGGGGAGCTTATGCTTAAGAGAGGAGTTGATCAAGGACTGGGAAACTTATTTCATTTATTCTGCCATCTAAAGAAAAGCAGTTGCTCACAAATATAACCAAGTGGGGAGGCTAAATTTCTCAGAAAAAAATTAAGTCCATTTACTGTAGATATGTAGATTAAAAAATAAACAGAGCATATTGACACTGTACGAGCGTGCTCCTCTTGTGTCCTTTGAACAAAGGTGGAGGTGGGACAGGGGATGAAGCCTTTTCAGAAAACCTTGGGCTGTCCTTCCTCGTAAACATTTTTTGAAAATATCTGTGATTTTGGTGCAATCTGTTTCATTCCAATGCAAAAACCCTGGCGCCACAAAGCAGGCAGATCTGGACAGCTGATAGTTTCCCTGGTGCGACAGAGCTCTCAACTGGCACAGAACTGGTGTGGCCAGCCCCCAAACCACTTGATATGTGTCATGGGTAGGGAAGGGTTGTGGCTGATATGCTCAGTTGTCCTATGGGCACTTAGGGACTGTGCCCATCTTGTAGAAGTTAGAGCAGCTCCCGGCCTACACTGTGGGGACATGACTGCAGAGGCACCTTGAGACTCAAGAAGCTTGGTACAACAGAGCATGTGGGACACGTTCTTAAAGTATTTTTCTGAGTTGCAGGGCTAGTTACAGCACTGCCAACACTTGCAATTTTATTGTTGAGGCTTGTGCTCTTTGGTGTCTTTTTAAGCCTCAGCTCCTAGAGTAAAGGGATTACTTGAGCATCTCAACTTTTATTTAAAACAAAACAACAGGTTTTGACCCCTGTTGGCTGCAGAGAAAAGTTTGAAAGCATGCCCAGTGTATACCTTAGACGCTCAGAACCCAGGAGTCAAATAAAAAGAACTCCAAGTTTGTAATATTAAAAAAAAAAATCATTGGCCTAAAAGTTATCTCATGATTTGGGGGGGAGAGGGGCAACTCCTGACTGTGAATACTTGGGGCTGGCAATACTGAAGTTATCTCTGGGATCGCAGTATCGATACATGGGACAGACTCTATCAGAAGCAGATAACTCATCCCTTCAGCCCACCACTGAAAGCTCAGCTCACTCCCCGCCCAGGCTTTCTTTAAGTCAAGCGGGAAACTGCTCTCTTGTCAGCCTGGAAATAATTGTTATAGGTCTTCCCTGTGACCTCTCACAGCTGCTGGCCTTTACCAGGCCCCCCTCAGTTTGCCACAGGTTGGTCCTAGCTGGTGTTGCCAGAATCTGAGACCTCTTGGACGATGGACAGTGGGACTGGATAGACCCTGGGGTGCTTGCCCATGCGTGACGTTGCCCCTCTTCATGTCCTCTGTCATATGTTCTAGGAGGTGGAAGACCATCCAGTCCTCTATCTTTATTGCATACTTCAAACATGTTCTGCAGGCAGGTGCTCCTACCTGCACCTATCCCTTGATCCTCTAGAGCTTGACACCAGGACCCTGCCATCCAGCTGGTCCACTTCCAAGCCATGCCCAGTGAACATCTCATTGTGCTCCTGCTCCACCCTGTGTACTTCTTTGCCCTCAGTCTCAACCTGACACCAAGTGGAGGGATATCCTTCCAACTAAAGAGGACACAGATCCTGGTGGGCTAGCCTTTATTCAACTCTAGTCCCACATCCTACTGCAAATATAAGATGGTGGTTCCTGAATGGACCCATGAGCACAGGCTAGCACCTATCATGGACACCCCTCAATGCCTGCCCCTTTTGTGGTGAGAGGGATACTCTATCTCTAGTGTGCCAGGTTGCAGTCACTCTTCTGGTTCCTCCAGAACCTTCTGCTGAGATTCTGGATGAAGTTCTCCCCACATATATTCCTGTATACACACCCCATTTGTGGTCCCACAAAGCACGGATCTTTCTGGTCAACCTCCTCCTGGCACTAGTCATTGACAAGTCCAGGAGCAGGAAGCCTGACAGGGAGGTCCTCTATGCATGAGACCTTCTTCTGTCTCCTTGTCACTGGACACATCCGGGCAGACTTCCTCTAGGCTTCGTCCACTAACTCCTTGGGCTCCTTTGCTGACCAGTAGGTGTGTCCAGGGCCCCCTCCTTGGTGTCCCCACCCTGGTTTTAAACCTTTGACATGCATTCCTATTCCAGCTTTATAAGTTTTTGTCCCAAATAAAGAATGGTTACTTACCTTACAGTAACTCATTCTTTGAGGTGTGTTGTCCATATGTATTCCACACTTGGTGTGTGGGTTCCATGCACTTGAGATCAGTTTTTTGGCCAGTACTGTCCAAGAGGGATGTACCTGTGCCCTCAGTGCTCTCAGGCCCCCCCCACCAAAGGGCAGAGTGGGGACTACCCCCACTCAGTTCCTTTGCCAATTCAGCATCCAGGTGTTTTAGGATGCAGTAGTAGGAGGGATGGAGGGCAGGTCGCGGAATACATATAGACAACAAATGTCCAAAACACAGTTGGCAACGGGCTTTGTTGCAAGGATAGGTTCCAGGTTAGTGGTTCTGTTGTGTGGTGTGTGATTGCTGGTGAGTATTTGCTTCAGGTTGGGGGGCTGTCTGTAAGCAAGGACTGGCCTGTCACCCAATATCTGTGAGAGTGATGGGTCGTCCTTCAGGATAGGTTGTAGATCCTTGATGATGCATTGGAGAGGTTTTAGTTGGGGGCTGAAGTAAAACTATTTCCCCATGTTTATCCCCCCCCTTTACCCCCCACTGTTCCTCAGACGTTCTTGTCAACTGCTGGAAATGGCCCACCTTGATTATCTACAAACTACCACAAACATCACCTTCAGCCCCCAACTAAAACCTCTCCAACCAATCTTCAAGGATCTACAACCTATCCTGAAGGACGACCCATCACTCTCACAGATCTTGGGAGACAGGCCAGACCTTGCTTACAGACAGCTCCCCAACCTGAAGCAAATACTCACCAGCAACCACACACCACACAACAGAACCACTAACCCAGGAACCTATCCTTGCAACAAAGCCCGTTGCCATCTGTGTCCACATATCTATCCAGGGGACACCATCATAGGGCCTAATCACATCAGCCACACTATCAGAGGCTCGTTCACCTGCACATCTACCAATGTGATATATGCCATCATGTGCCAGCAATGCCCCTCTGCCATGTACATTGGTCAAACTGGACAGTCTCTACGTAAAAGAATAAATGGACACAAATCAGACGTCAAGAATTATAACATTCAAAAACCAGTTGGAGAATACTTCAATCTCTTTGGTCACTCGATTACAGACCTAAAAGTTGCAATTCTTCAACAAAAAAACTTCAATAACAGACTCCAATGAGAGACTGCTGAATTGGAATTAATTTGCAAACTGGATACAATTAAATTAGGCTTGAATAGAGACTCGGAGTGGATGTTTCATTACACAAAGTAAAGCTATTTCCCCATGTTTATTCCCCCCCTCCCCCCTCCACTGTTCCTCAGACATTCTTGTCAACTGCTGGAAATGGCCCACCTTGATTATCACTACAAAAGGATCCCCCCCCCCCACTCTCCTGCTGGTAACAGCTCACCTTAAGTGATCACTCTCTTGTTACAGTGTGTATGGTAACACCCATTGTTTCATGTTCTCTATGTATATAAATCTCCCCACTGTATTTTCCACTGAATGCATCCGATGAAGTGAGCTGTAGCTCATGAAAGCTTATGCTCAAATAAATTTGTTAGTCTCTAAGGTGCCACAAGTACTCCTTTTCTTTTTTGCGAATACACACTAACACGGCTGCTACTCTGAAACCTCTCCTCTCTCAGTTTCCCCCTATTGACCTGGAATTCCTTTCTTTATAAGAGCCATCCAGTCTAGCTCTCACTAGCTGGGTCTAATCCTTAATTACCTGTCTCCCTTTCATGTGGCACAGTACAGGCTAATTGGGCTCTCTGGCTCCCCTTAACTGTCACTGCCAGTGTGCGGTTTATACACTGCATCACAATGAACTATCTGATTTAGGTGGAATGACTTTCAGATGGGGTAGAAG